TATTCTTGCATTGAGGGAGTACTTGAGTGGAGGCCCAATGTCCATCTGCTACTTTAATACTAAACCTATAAATATATGCACATAGATCTATTTCCCTATCCTCATATATAAATATATTTGCATATGTACATGCCTGTATTTAGACCTCTATAAATGCCCTTACCTCCTAGCTCTTTCTTCTAAATCCTTTGACTTCCCTCTTGTCCCACTATCATGCTCAGTCTTCATTTAGGTTTCAGTAATTTCTCTTGGTTACATTACCCTTGATCACACCCTACCAGGCCTCCTACACCCTCCTCACCACCGATTTGGATCACTTGTTGTTCCCTTGTCCCTGGGTTTGTTAACAGGAGTTTGCTTTTCTATGGGAGGGGGGTTCTCCCAGAGGTTCCAAGTCTGTTAGTTTGGGTTGGTGCTGGCCAACCTACATTTTATAAGCACCCTCGGTAAGGGTGGCACGGGCTTGGGCGATGTTTCTTTCTGTTTCTTTCTACACATAGGGTTGCCAGGAGTCAGGACTGAGTGGAGGGCACCCAGCCCTCACAGCAACACCCCAGCTGATGCTGATTAGCACACCTGCAGACCCTTTGAGAAGCACAGCCCCGGGATACCTTTTAGGTCACCCTGCCGTCCTCCAGGGCTTCAGGGCCCTCAGTGTCCTGCAGGCAGGTTGGGACCCATATATTCCGGCACACTGGTCTTCCCTCCCATTCTAGCTAATGAGGCAGCATGATAAATGGCGAAAAGACCATAGTAAGGAATGTCTGCCTTGCTTGGATCCGCCATCACTGCTCATGGGAGCAGCAGTCAAGAGATCCCATGATGCATTGCACTGGGCAAACCTACTGCTCAAGACAGCTCTAAGGTGCTGAAAAGCAAGGATGTCACTTTGAGAGCTAAGGTGCAGCTGACCCCAGCCGTGGTATAGTCCATCGCTTGAGGTGCATGGGAAAGTTGGACAGCGAATCAGGAAGACCATAGAAGAAGCGATGCATTTGAATGACGGTGCCAGCGAGGACACCCAAGTAGAGGAAGACCCTCAAGGATAGGGATGGACACAGTGGCGGCAGCAACAGGCTCCAGCACAGGAACTATGGTGAGGGGGCGCCGGCTCAGGCACTGTTTGGTTCTGGCCTACACTGGGTCGCTTTGGGTCGGAGCCGACACCACACCACCTCACGACAAGGCAGTGGCGGCCCAGAGCAGAACAGGTCCGTGAAGCATTCTTGACTGGACTTGCCAGGACTTCTGTGATGCTGCCCAGTGGCCTTGCACCATCAGCCTTTACAGTCGGTCTGGTGCAAATCTGTGGCACCCCAGGGACCGCGAGGAAGCCCTTGTGTTAGTCTGGGTAGACGAGAGAAACAAATCCAGGGAGACTCGTGTGCATATAAGAAAGAGCTTCATATACAAGAGCAGTTGAATATTGAGAAAACATCCCAGCCCAGTCCGGATCAAGTCCATACGTCTGATATTAGCCCTTATGTCTGATACTAATCTATAAAGTCCTCTGCAGACTCACGAAACACATGCAATGGCACCAAGTGCAGTCAGATCACAGGCCAGTGGGTGGAAGGTCTTGTGGATCCAGTGGCAGTAGAGGCATCGCAGTGCTGACGGGGGTCTCCACGTGGCTCCTCAAGCTCCAGGGCTCTAGCATAGCTCCATGTGTCTTATCAACCAGTATGTCTCCCAGGAAGTGAGCGTGTGTTCTGCCTCCAGCGAGCTATTTATCTCCTTAGGACCTCCAAATGAGGTCATCAAGCCGTGAGCTGATTGACAGGTTAAACTCCACCCCTTCACTCTTCATCCCCTCCCGTTGACAGCAATGATGTGACGACCACAGCACTGTTGCTATGGCGTGAGGGTGAGTGGGTTCCAAGTTGTGTCAGGAGACTGCCCCTCCGGGTTCCTAGGGTGTTATCTTTACGGAAACAGACTGTCATCCCTTTTCCCACACAAGCTTCGAGCCCTCTGCTGGCCTCCCACGAAGGCCCCCCACGGTGACAGGGAGCCATCATGCCCGGGCGACCCAAGGCAGGAGGACCAAGCCTTAGAAGAGAGAGTGGAACCTTGTAGCATGAGGAACTGCACGGGCTCAGAGAGAGGTTGAGACAGGTTCACCTCTGGACACACGCCTGAGCTCTCCGGCCCTTGCTGTGGGGAATTCCTGCAGCAGGCATCACACCCATTGCCATCAAGTCGATGCCAACCTGCTGCCACCCGAGAGAGGGTTCCCAAGACGGCGAGAAGCTCGACCACTAATAGAAAGGTGGACTGTTCAAATCCATCCGAAGACACCTAGGTGGAGAAGCCTGGTAACCTGCTTTCCAAAGCTCACATGCAGCCCCCACAGCCCTGTGGAGCAGGCAGGTCACGTGGCACACAGGGTCTCCATGAGTTGGGATGGACTTGCAGGCACTGGGCCCTCTTGCCACCGTGACCCAGCACTTGCCTGGTTCTGAAAAGGACCTGCTCCCCACTAGATGGTGGGTGTCAGGGGGCACTCAGCCGACGGGAGGACTGACCTGAAGTCCCTGTGCTGGTCTCCTAGGCTGCCTGCGCAGTCACCTCCCTGCGCCCCGGGCTCCACCCCAGCTCACCTGGCTGAGGGGCACAAGGGCTCCATTGTGTGGGCAGGCATGGGGGCTGCCGTTCTGGAGGTTGGGGCTGGCTGGACAGATGGGGAGGTAAACAAAACCCTCTTTGACAGGGACTATGGTGGCCACGCCAACCATGCACTGATTCAGCACCTACATGTCAAAGGCTTCTCTGCACAGGGTGCCCTCAGTCTTGGAGGGCTGGGGCAGGGTGGGCAGAGTTGCACATGGCCCCTGCTGTCAGGAGGGAGTGAGGGAGCCCTGGAGTCTTGCTCCCTCCACGTGGGTGATGCTGGGCTGGTTGCTATGTGGGGCCCTGATATCCTCATCCAGAAGAAAGGAAACCAGGGACCGTGGTGGTGTGGCCGATTACGTGTTGGACTAGAGATTCAGACCCACCGTGTGGCCGTCTGCTCCCGTCCATGTGGATGAAAGGTCCACTCTGTCCTGCAAGGTGGATATGAGTTGCAACTGACTTGACCACAGTGGTGGGGGCTGTGGTGGTGTGGGTGGGCAGGTCCGTGGCTCCTCCCTGTGGAGGCGGTGTGGCCCTGCGTTTAGAGGATGCTCGCTGCCCCTGGATCGATGTGGACACTCCGATAGTACCCTTGAAGAGCAAGGTTATTACTTTGAGGACTGAGGCGCTCCTGACCCACGCCATGGCGTTCTCGCGTGCATGCGACAGTTGGACACTGAATAAGGAAGGTCAAAGAAGAATGGATGCTCTGGGATCGTGGTGCTGGAGAAGAATACTGAAAGTCCGTGGACGGCTGAACAACAAGCAGATCTGTCCTGGAAGAAGTGAGGTCAGAGCTCCTTAGAGGCAAGGATGGCAAGACTTCATCTCCCACACGTTGGACATGCTATCAGGAGAGCCCGTTCCCTGGAGAAGGCCATCCTGCTTGGTCAAGTGGCGGGGCAGGGAAAAGCGGAGGGCCCTTGGGGAGATGGATGGACACGGAGGCTGCGGCAGTGGGCTCAGGCACCGGGGCAGTTGTGAGGACGGCGCAGGACCAGGCAGTGCTTCGTTCTGTTGTGCATGGGGTCACCATGGGTCAGAACCGACCCGAGGGCACCCTTCATGGTATCCTCCTTGGACTGCCACATGGAAGGCATTCAAAGGTGAGGCTGTCAGGTCCTGCCAGGTCAGCTCAGACCCACAGTGGCCCGGTGCACCACAGAAGGAGACACACAGCCTAGTGCTGCAGCCACAGTCCCCGCATCTCACCAAGGGCCTTCCTGTTTCACAGCCCCGCCACTCTTTAGGCACCAGAGGCCAACTGCTTGACCTCATGCTCAGAGAGCCTGACCTGCCCAGCGTCCTGGAGACCAGGGATGTGACTTTCTAAGCTCCTGGGCCTCCCGGCTTTTGGCTGATCCTGGTGGGAGGTGGGCGTGCCTATGCAGGGGCTTTATGAAGGCCAAGTGTCCGCTCCACATCCCCCCCAACCACGGTCTTTGTAGATGGTCGTTCTCATGGACCCCATGGAGGATGCCGATGACACCCTGCGGGCCCACCGCTCCCGAGAGAAGTCCTACCTGTTTGATGTGGCCTTCGACTTCACTGCCACCCAGGTGAGGGCGGGCCTGCGCTGGGGACGCACGGGAGCCCCTCAAGGCAAGATGCCTGCTCTGGAGGGGGTTTGGGCAGCAGGGGCTTTGCCCATGGCCCACTGGCTCTGTGCAGTGCAGCCCCTTTAGCTTTGCCCCTATGTGCCCGTATATACACCCAGCTCCAGGGTGGACACACCGGCCCCTGCGTGGTCACACACTGGCCCTGCATGGACACACCTGACCCAGTGGACATCCCAGCCCCTGCCTGCACACACCCGCTCCCTGTGTGGACACATTAGCCCTGCCCCCTGCCTGCACACACCTGCTCCCTGTGTGGACACATTAGCCCCACTCCCGGCCTGCACACACCTGCTCCCTGTGTGGACACATTAGCCCTGCCCCCTGCCTGCACACACCTGCTCCCTGTGTGGACACATTAGCCCCGCCCCCTGCCTGCATACACCTGCTCGCTCCCTGTGAGGACACCTCTACAGGGTACACAGAGGGGACCGGTGGGGCCCAGTGGCAGGAAGCTGACACCCAGGGGACCCCCATCTTGCCCATCTGCAGGACGCTCCCAGGAGCAGATGCGATGCGTCCCGGGCTGGAGGCCAGGAGGCAGCCCTGGGGACAGCATCTCGGGTATCCTGAGCTCTGTTTCAAGTTGACATCCCCCTGGGGTGAAACCAGAGACACCTCCCCACCCCCACTCCGCAGCCCTGCTCCCTGGTGGGGGCTGGCTGTGCCGTGGGCGCCTCCCAGCCACTGACTGCCCTCTTCCTGCAGGAGATGGTGTACCAGGCCACCACCAAGAGCCTCATCGAGGGGGTCATCTCGGGCTACAATGCCACCGTCTTTGCCTACGGACCTACTGGTGAGAGGCCGGCCTGTGAGGCAGGCCACACCTGGGGTCCCCCCCAGTGGGAAAGAGGCCACTCAGAGCTAGCTGGAGCCAAGTAAATCCAGCCCTGAGCCCCCTGCCCCTCACTCCAGTCACCCCCTCATCCTCTCCATGCTCAGGCTGCGGGAAGACCTACACCATGCTGGGTACTGACCACGAGCCGGGCATTTACGTCCGCACGCTCAATGACCTCTTCCGCGCCATTGAGGAGACCAGCAGCGACATGGAGTACGAGGTGTCCATGTCCTACCTGGAGGTGAGCCTCCCATCCCAACCCCTCCTCAGCCGCTGCCCTCCTGCACTCTGGGTGTCCAAACCCAGGGCCAGGTCAACGTCGCACAGGAATTGGGGGAGCAGAGATTCAAATGCAGCCTTGGAGGAGCTCAGAACAATGAAGCCCACCCTGCTGTCCCCATCCAGTCCCCACAGTCCCGTTCCTTACCTGCCCACCCCGCCCCGCCCCGCCCCCTCAAGCACCTCACACATGCCTGGGCCCCCGCACACATACATGCACATACATGTGCACATACACATATAAATATACACACGTGCACACACAACATACACACGTGCGTATACACATATACATACGTGTGCGCGCACAAACACATGCACGCACACATACAACATACACGTGCACACGTACATATATCAACATACACATGTACATATATGCATGTACATGCAAACACGCGCACATGCACATGTAAAACACAACATACACGTGCACACACACATGCAAGTACACACAATATACAACATATACATATACCCACAACATACACATACCTATGGACAGACACATATAGCCTGGGGCCCTTGGCCCCTGCCTTTGGGAGTACAGCCCCAGGCAGTAGTGGGCAGGTATGTGAGAGGTCAGAAGGCAAAGAGCCAGAGCCCGCCTCCCTCTGATGGTCTCCCAGGTGATAATCTCCTGGGAGGGAGGAGGTTGTGAGGTAGGTGAGCAGGTGTGTGGACTCAGCTAGCAAGGAGGGCCTGACCGGAGGGCCTAGCAACGGGCAGAGTTGGCCGGCCTAGCCACCAGGTGGGGCAGTCACAGAAACACCGCCCATGGTGGCTTCGACAGACAGCAACTTACCTCTCCACTCATCTGATGGAATATTATGATCCATAAAATCAGTGACAGCACTCTTACACATTGCGTGGCATGGAGCAAGTGAGAGACATTATCCTTGGCAAACTGAGTCAATCTGACAAAGATAAATATTTAACAACACCATGATTACGAGGAAGAACCAAGAAAAAGAAGCAGGGCTTTTACAAAAAGGTAAGACGTGGAAGACTGGGAGGAGCCCAGGGGTGAGGCGGGAGCAGAGAGGGGAAATTACAGAGCAGGGGAGGAGGATGGAGGGAGAAAAAGAGCCACATTTATGGGACATTGTGTGAGTCCGGGTGGACTAGAGAAACAAACTCATAGACACTCATATGTGTATAAGAACGAGCTTTATATAAAGAGCAATTATATATTAAGAAAACATACGAGCCCAGTCCAGATCAAGTCCATAAGTCCAATATTAGCCTATATATTCGATACCAGTTTATAAATTCCTCTTCAGCCTCACGCAGCACATGCAATGACACTGAATGCAGGACGCTCACAGGCCAGTGGGTGGGAAGTCTTGTGCATTCGGTGGCAATGGAAGCATCTCAGCGCTGGTGGGTCTCCACGTGGCTCCTCCAGCTCCAGGGCTCTGGCTCCATCAGTGTAGCTCCATGTGGCTTGTCAACAGGAATGTCTTGCAAGGAGAGTGTGTGTCCCACCTCCAGAGAAGACAGGAGTTCCCAGAATGCTCAGGAGAAGGCCACGCCCACACAAGCACCATTGGCTACGACCTGGTTGACAGGCTCCACCCCTTCACTCAAGCGGACAGAAGATTGTGGAACCTGCCCCAGACGTGGACGGGGATGCTACTGCTGACCGCATGTGTCGAGATGGGCCGTGTAACCAAGGACAAGATGCTTCTTTCAAAGCCCAAATTTAGAAGAAAACAGAATTGAGAGACAAGGCACACAGCCTTAAAATACAAAATAAAAATGCCTCCAGACTTCTTACCCCGCAGACCTAATCCCTGGTCTGAGCGGCTCAAAAAAAAGGGAGGAGAAGTCAAAGTGAAGTGAACTTGGAGTGTTTTGTGACATACAAGTTCATTTCAAACGTGGGGGAAAGGAAGGAATAAAGAAAGAGGAAGGAAGGAATTTCAAAAAATCCTGTTATTGGGGGCTCTTACAGCTCTTATAACAATCCACCCATCCATCGTGTCAAGCACATTGGCACGTACGTTGCCATCATCCTTTTCAGAACATTTTCTTTCTACTTGAGCCCGTGGGATCAGCTCCTCGTGTTTTCCTCCCTCCCCCAGCCTCCCACCCTCATGAACCCTTGATAAATTATTATTTTTGTATCGGACACCGTCGGCTGGAAGGAAGGGACGTCTCTCCCCTAGTGTAGGAGGCTAGAGGGTGGCTTCCTCTCTTCTCTAGCTGCGCACCTTGGCACGCTCCAAGTGTGTTAGCGCCTCTCTGCCAGCTCATTTTATCTCACATGGAAAACAAGATTGACTCTCGGAAACCCTTAGCTAGACCTGCCTCACTAACGTAGCAGACCACTGTTCCCTCGGGGGATTGTAGCCCCGGGCATAGAGGTTTTGAGAAGACAATATTCAATCCCTAACATGGCCTTTGAAGCCCCCCATCCCCCACGCCCCCACCTGGCCAGGATGTTCCTGCTGTAGGCCAGATCCTGGTGTGTGCGTGTGTGCGTGTGTGTGTGTGTGTGTGTGTGTGTGTGTGTGTGTGTGTTTTGAACCCATTTGAACTGGCTCAGGCATGGCCAATGGAAGCTGAATCAAGGGAGACCCCACAATTTGGGGGGAAGAGAAGATAGCCAGGATGGGGGAAAGTACTGCAATGAGCTTTGGAAAAAGTCGAGCGAGTCCTTTCACGAGCCTGATTCAGGAGAGGAGACTGGCCAGGCCTGTGGAGACAGCACATGCATCCAATGCGGTATCCAAGGCAGCCACCTTTGAGCCGGGCACCGGCATTTCAGATTCCGCCGATCAAGAGATTGTTGCCACGCAATCCCTGCGCCGCCCTTATTGGCTACGAGGGAGGCTGAGTTCTCCCGGGAGGTGACCACCGGTTCCCAGTCCTGCATCATCCTGGCTGGCTCGTAGTTTGCAAATTTCCATTGTTCTTGTTTCATTCCCATCCGCTTTCCGTGAACTGAGAAGACCCCGTTTGAAGCTGAGCCCCCAATCCCAGTGTCTGTCTGCCAAACCTCTCCCCCTGGTGGTGATGGAATTTGTGTGCTCAGCTCAGGCGGCCTGGCATCCCTGTGGACGCTGAAGCCCCACGCCCACCTCAGAAAGGAAGGGCTGCCCCATCTGGGGTTCTCAGGAAATATGATCTGATTCTGCCTCCCTGCTGGGCAGGCTGGGAGACCCGCTCTGTCCCTCATCCCTTCAGATCTACAATGAGATGATCCGGGACCTACTGAACCCCGCCCTGGGGTACCTGGAACTGCGGGAGGATTCCAAAGGAGTGATCCAGGTGGCTGGAATCACCGAGGTGTCCACCATCAACGCCAAAGAGGTGAACTGATTGATGCACGGGGACAGGCGACAGGGGTGCTCACCATTGAGGGGGCAGCAGTGAGTCCTGAGTGGATGGCACAGACCCGGGTCAGGGAGTGGGCTTGTAACTCAGCCTCCCCACTTACACACAGAGACCCCTGGGGTTCGGAACTTCAGGGACCTCCCCAGACCCTAGCCACCTCTTGGATGCAGGACCCCCTGGTCCCAGAGGGACACTCCACAAGTCCCCAAGCATCAACCACCACCACCACCTTCCACCCCCCGCCACCCAGATTATGCAGCTGCTAATGAAGGGGAACCGGCAGAGGACACAGGAGCCCACGGCCGCCAACCAGACCTCGTCCCGCTCCCACGCCGTGCTGCAGGTGGCTGTGCGTCAGCGCAGCCGCATCAAGAACATCCTGCAGGAAGTGCGGCAGGGCCGCCTCTTCATGATTGACCTGGCGGGTTCTGAGCGGGCCTCCCAGGTGGGTCTGGCAGAGGGCAGGGGGGCTCAAGGGGAGGCCGGGTGAGGGGGCAGGATGATGCCTCCCAGGCAATCAAGCAGGCTCCCAGGTGGGGCTGCAGGGGGGAGGCCCAGGGGGAGGAGAGGAGAGGATAATGGTCTCCCAGGTAAGTGGGCTGCCAGGTGGCAATGGAGGTTGAAGAGTAGGACAGAATGGTGGCCTCCCAGGTAAACTGGGCTCCCAGGTGGGGACAGGGGCTCCAGGGGGAGTGGGTGGGCAGGTTGGTGGCCTCAGGGCTGAGGAGGGAATGTAGGGGAGTAGGAAGACTGTGATAGGAGAGAGAGACCCACACACCCTGCCGGGTCTTGTTGGGACATGATCCTGGAGAGGGGAGGGTCCATGCCACCCATTTCCCCAGCACTTGGCCCTGCATTTGGCCCTGCTTGCCTGGCTGTGAGGCTGGGGGTGTGAGATACAGGCCTCTCGCACTGAGGCCCAGGGGGTCACATAGAACAGGGCGGGTGGGACTGGGCTGCAGCCTGGGTGCCAGCTGGTCCCTGCACACAGGCTGGGGCGAGACCCTTCATGGAGGGGGAGGGGCGGGGGGGGCGGGCGGTACTGTGGGCAGTGACACACATGCATACGCTCACGTGCTCCCTCCCACACTCAGAACCCGCAGTCACGTGTGTTCTCACATGTCACACACACTCCTTCACATCCTCACACTCTCAGCTCCCACTGTCACACGCCCTTGCACACCGTGCGGGGGACCCACGCCCCCACACAGAGCCTACACACTCACTCATACACACTCGCTCACTCACGCTCATTCTCACACATGCACACAGACTCTTAAACTCTGTCCGTCTACCTGACACACACACACACACACACACACACACACACACACACACGCCTGCTCCCTCCTGGCCGTGCAGTCTAGAGTGCTGGGTCTGTGGGGTGCTGGCCACCCTGCTGAGCTGTTTGGGAGGCCCCACACATGGACCACAGCCTCTCCCTCCCTCCAGGCACAGTGCTGCTGCTGTGTCTAAGGCCAGTCCAGGGGCAAGGGGCAGACAGAGACCCAGGCACCCACCACCCCACCCTTGGGAGCCCTCAGACTACACTCTGCGCAGCACCCTGGACTTCATCAAAACCCTCTGATGGCCCCGCATATTTCAAAGCCCCCAGGGGCGGGCGGGGAGTGGGGGGGGATCTTACCCTGGAATCACCCAGGACATGGGGGATGGTGGCTGGGGGGACCTCCCCTCAGCCCATGAGCCTGCGGTGACATCACGGCCCATCTAGACGCAGAACCGGGGGCAGCGCATGAAGGAGGGCGCCCACATCAACCGCTCCCTGCTGGCCCTGGGCAACTGCATCAACGCGCTGAGTGACAAGAGCAGCAACAAGTACATCAACTACAGGGACAGCAAGCTGACCCGGCTGCTGAAGGTACTGCACTGGGCGCCAGGCGGCCAACCACGGGCAGGGCCCTAGTCAGGGCCGGATTCCAGATAGGCCAGCACCAAAGGAACCCAGCCCAAGTGATGTGGGGCACACGCGTGTGATAACACCATTCAAATGCCACCCCGTGTCCTCCTCCATTTTACCTGGCCGCCCGTAGCAAGGGTAGGCAGCCAGAGAGAAGGGTGCTGGCACCTCCGGGACTTTGACCTGAGGCCACCAAGTGGTGCCGAGACTTGGAGGTGTCTGTTGCCTGGGGGCCATTGCCTATGTTCAGGGGTGTCCCTGGCCTTTCATCCGTACCATGTTGCACACAGTACCCGGTCCCTTGGTCAGTGCTTGTGCCGTCCACTCCGCTCACGTGCTTCACCCTCTCAGCCAGCCGTGGGCTGGAGGGCGTCCCTGCTGACCCGCTCACCTCTGTGCTCTTTGCGGGCACGAGGGAGTTGCCCAAAGTTCCCAGGAGAACGGAATCGGAAGATGGCAGAGTTTTCCCACCAGCTTCTGGAAATCCCTCCCTTCACATTTATCACAAGCGGGGCAAGGTTTCAGGCAGCCCCGGGTCTGGCCAAGCTTCCAGGGCCATTTTCTGGGCAGTGTGTGGCCCCTTTGGCTCTGCGTGTCCTGTGTTGGCCATGCCCACCGTGTCTCAAACTCTGCCCTGCTCTCTGTCACACACGTCGCAGACAGCAGCGTGGCACCGTCGGTGCAACTCAGACACTGGGAGACGTGGCCGTGGGCGAGGCTCACGTGGATGCGATACTGGCCTTGCCGTGGCAGTGGTCTAGAACCGGCCCCGCCATATCTGCCAGGGCCATCTGCAGATGAGGAAACCGAGGCAGGGGAAGCCACCTGGCGTTGCTAATGGGGTGCGATGGGGTGAAGAGAGTAAACACATGAGCATGCGGTCTGCTCAGATCTGGCTGCAGTCCACTCGCCAGGGCTGTCCCTCTTTCCTGCCCACACGAGGGACAAGGGGACAATTGCCCCATGCTCTTTACACCCCATGCTTCCCTCCCTGAGGCCTCCTTGCTCTGAGAAGGCCAAGCTCCGGGCAGGGGGAGGTGGCCACAGGCCAAGTACAGTCTTGGTGCAGAGTCTGAGCCTTGCTGGCGCTCACAGCAGCTAAGCCAAGTGTTGTCCCCATGGAGAGGAGGGTGGTCCTGGGGGGCAGATGGGCTGTGGTGGGGGGACAGGGAAGGGGACTGGACTCCACAAGGGTATGTGAATTAGGCAGCTGGCTCCCAGCCAAACAGGGATGCAGGAGGCACCCCCAAAAGAACCCCAGACATGGAAGTTTTGAAGCAGAAACTGGAAAATGGAGAAGGGGGACGGGTGGAGGGACTGGGACTCAAGAGGTCCTGTGATGGCAGCAGTCAGACCTGAAGGGTGTGAGAGTGTGTGTGAGCATGTGTGTGTGTGTGTGTGTGTGTGTGCTCAAGCAAGCATGTGTGAGAATGTAGAAGGCGTGTGAGAGAGAGTGTGTGTGTGAGACTGTTTGTGTGAGCATGTATGGGCAAGTGTGTGTGTGTTTGTGAGTATAGGTGTGTGCCTGTGAATGCATGTGAGTATGCATGTAATTGTGTGAGAGTCAGTATGCGTGTGAATATGTGTGAGTGTGTGGGTGCATGTGTGTATGAGAGAGGCTGTGTGTGTGAGTGTGTGTGTGATGTGTGTGTGGGATGAGTGCACGTGTGTGAGTGTACATCTGAGGGTCTGAAATGAAGGTGTGTGTATGGGAGAGTGTGTATTTGAGAGTGAGTATGGATGTGACTGTGAGTGTGTGTGTGTGTGTGTGTGAGTGTGGGTGAGATAGTCAATATGTCTGCGTGGGAAGAGGTGAAGATGTGTTAGAGAGTATTATGTATGTGTAGGTGAGGGTATGTGTGTGAGTGTGGGAATGAATGTATATGTGTGAGTGCATGTGTGTGTCCGTATGTGTGTAAATTCAGGTGGCCATGTCTGTACTTGTGTGAGTTAGTATGAGTGGGTGTGTATGAAGGATGTGTGTGTGTGAAAGTGGCTGTGTGAGGGAGTCTGTAAATATGTGAGTGTGTATATACATATGAAAGAGAAAAGATGTATGATGGTGAAGCAGTGAGGGTGTGGCAGAAAGTGTGTATAGACGAGTGAGAGTGTAGATGTGTGTATGCCAATGAAGGTGAGTGTATATATACTTGTGAGTTATATGATTATGTGTAAGTATGCGGGATGTGTGTGTATGTGAGACTGGCTGTGTGTGTGAGTGTGAATGTGCGTGTGTGAGAGACAGAGAGAGAAAAAAATGTGTGTGGACCTGAGTTTATATATACACATGTGTGAGAGAGTAAATATGCATGAATGTGAGGAGGTAAGCATGCAGGTGAGCATTTGAGAGTGAGGGTGCATATTTGTGTGAGAGTGTGTATGTGAGGGAGAGAGTATGTGTGAGAGAGCGTGATGGTATACAGTGAACCCTCGTTTATCGCGGTTAATCGGTTCTAGACCCTACCGTGATAAATGAAATTCTGTGAAGTAGGATTCCTTATTTGTAAATCAAATATTTTCATAGTTAGAGCATAGAGGACATGAAAAAACACCCTTTAGTCACCATTA